CACAGGGAAGGGAATTGGATGCAGGGAAGGGAATTGGATGCAGGGACAGGAATTGGACACAGGAAAAGGAATTGGACACGGGGAAATGGATTGGTCAGGGGGAAAGGGATTGCCCATGGGGAAGGGAATTGGATGCAGGGAAAGGAATTGGCCACAGGGGAAGGAATTGGGCACAGGGAAGGGAATTGGGCACAGGAAAAGGAATTGGCCATGGGGAAGGGAGTTGGACACAGGGAAAGGAATTGGTCATAGGGAGAGGAATTGGACACAGGGAAAGGAATTGGTCATGGGGAAGGCAGAGCTGGTGAGGGAGGAGGAACTGGACATGGGAAAGCAGAGGTGGTGAGGGAGCAGGAATTGGCCTCAGGACACAGCAACGGGCACAGGGAAGGGCAGGGAAGCTCCCAAGGGGATTCCTGGGTTTTTAGCAAGCTCAAGAAGCCACCCACGAGGGGCACAAGGGCGTGGGGTGGGTGGGCAGTGCAGGGCACTGGTGCAGAACTTGTCTGTCCAGTCACAAATCCCCAGAAATCCTCTGGAGAAGGTACCCAAACCCCAGGTAATTCCCACCAAAAACTCCCTCACTCTGCAGTCAGAGTGGGTTGCTCAGGCTCTGCCCATCCCGGCCTCCGAGTTCTCCCAGGATGGACACGAGGTCGGAATGTGCTCCCTCCTGCTGAGGGACACGTGTCCAGCTGCCCTCCCTTTGGCTGGGCAGCAGCAGGGGCCGGTTCCAGGAGGAGAAGGAGGGCACCCACCTCACTGCAGCTCCGTGGGGACACCAGCATTGCTACTGCAGCAGGAGCAGGGGGAGGCCGTGTCCGAGCAGCCACGTCACTGAGGGAAGGTCTCCAGGGTCCAGCTTTCCTGGGCTGGGGAGGCAGAGCAGAGGGACAGAGAGGGCAGAGAGGGTTAAAGGGCTGGGGAGTCACGGGGGGTCATGAGGAGCATGAGGAACATCTGGAGTTTGCAGCTCTGGAGGGAGTTAACATGGGAGAAAATCCACGGCGGCAGCCCTGGGAGAACATCCACAGCAACCTTTCCAGGAGAACATCCACAGTAACCTTCCTGGGAGAACATCCACGGCAACCTCCCTGGGAGAACATCCACAGTAACCTTCCTGGGAGAACATCCACACCAACCTCCCTGGGAGAACATCCACACCAACCTCCCTGGGAGAACATCCACACCAACCTTCCTGGGAGAACATCCACAGCAACCCTTCCAGGAGAACATCCACACCAACCTCCCTGGGAGAACATCCACAGCAACCTTTCCAGGAGAACATCCAACCAACCCTTCCAGGAGAACATCCACACCAACCTCCCTGGGAGAACATCCACAGCAACCCTTCCAGGAGAACATCCACACCAACCTTCCTGGGAGAACATCCACATCAGCCTTTCCAGGAGAATATCCAACCAACCTCCCCAGGAGAAAATCCACACCAACTTCCTTTGGAGAACATCCAACCAACCTCCCCAGGAGAACATCCACACCAACCTTCCTGGGAGAACATCCACAGCAACCTTTTTGTGAGAACATCCAACCAACCTTCCTGGGAGAACATCCAACCAACGTCATTTGGAGAACATCCAACCAACCTCCCCAGGAGAACATCCACACTAACCTTTCTGGAAGAACATCCACACCAACCTCCCCAGGAGAACATCCAACCAGCCTTTCCAGACCACCCCTACCAATCCCCCCCTGCAGCCCCCAGAGCCTGAGTGCTCCCAGTGCTGTGGAAACTCCAGAAAAATAACCCCAAAAGCCCCCCTGGGAGATGCCAGGACCCATCCAGCCTAAACCTCCCCTGGTGCTTCCCATGGACACATCCAGGTCGGGAAAATTCCCCTTGGGGGATCCTGGCACTGGAGCTGCGAGAAATCCTTGGAGAACGAAGCCCAATAAATCATTTGGAGCTGGAGATGCCCAGCTGGCTCCCATCCCAAATCCCGGGAAGAAGAGGCACATTCAGGACAAAATTCAAAATTTTCTGCTCCACAGCAGCCCTGGTTTTATATCCCGGAGTATTCGGGAGAAAGGATTTCCCTCTTACTGTGGGAAGAATCAGGAGGCCCTGGAAAAGGTTTTCCCAGAGAAGCTGTGGCTGCCCCTGGATCCCTGGAAGTGTCCAAGGCCAGGGTGAAGAAGAAAAGGTTCCAAGGAGACCTTAAACACCTTTCAGGGTCTGAAGGGGCTCCAGGAGAGCTGGAGAGGGACTTGGGATGAGGGCTGGAGGGACAGGACACAGGGAATGGCTTCAGAGTGAAAGAGGGGAAATTTAGATGGGATATTGGGAAGGAATTCCTGGCTCAGGGTGGGGAGGGGCTGGGATGGAATTCCCAGAGAAGCTGTGGCTGCCCCATCCCTGGGAGTGTCCAAGGCCAGCTTGGAGCACCCTGGGCTGGTGGAAGCTGTCCCTGCCCATGGAAACAAGATGATCTTTAAGGTTTCTTCCAACCCCAAAGACCTTTTGGATCCGTAATCTGAATTTCCCAGGAATTCTGAGCCGAGCCCCAGCCCTCTGCTCAGGCAGTGGGCTGAAGGCAGCTGTTATTTCAGGCACATTTGATGGAGTTTTATTAAGATTCATGTTCCCTTAGTAACTAAAAAGAAGAACACGAGCGAGGAAACGGCGCTCACGGAGGAAGAGGAGCCCTGTCAACAATTCCAGGGGGTTGGGCCGAGCTTTTCCCGGCTGTGAAACACGAATTCCGCGGTAATTCGGGAGCGGCAGAGACCTAACGAGATGTTTATTCCAAACAAGGAGGCGGCAGGGACTGAGCTGGAGGAGGAGGGATCCAGCTGGCTGGGAAGGGAGGGCTCTCCCTGGCACCTCTGGGCACCTCTGGGCACCTCTGGGCTGGCAGCAGGGAGGGGGGCACAGCCTCTGCTCCCTGGATGCTCCCAGACATTCCTGATTATCCCAGCTTTCCCACCTGGAGCTGAGCTGGGAGTGGGAAAACGCGGGAGCCCCGAGGAGGGAAGGCAGCAGGGGGAGCTTTGGGTGTCGGGAGGTGGTTGTAGAAAAAAAAACTGGGGATGGGGAGGTGGTTTTAAAGTAAAAGGGGAGGCTCAGGTGGGATATCGGGAAGGAATTCCTGGCTGGGAGGGTGAGGAGGGGCTGGGATGGAATTCCCAGAGAAGCTGTGGCTGCCCCAGCCCTGGGAGTGTCCAAGGCCAGGCTGGAGAAGAGAAGGTTCCAAGGAGACCTTAAACCCCTTCCAGGGCCTAAAGGGGCTCCAGGAGAGCTGGAGAGGGACTGGGAACAAGGGCTGGAGGGACAGGACACAGGGAATGGCTTCATCCCAGCTTCTCCCCACTTTCCTCATAAAACATTCCCTCCTGATCTCCAGCAGGAATCTCCCTGCTTTTAGCCCCAAACCATTATCCCACCTTTCTTATAAACCCCTGGAAGGTCTCCCTGGAGCCTTCTCTTCTATTCCTGAGTTTTAGCTCCTTGGAGATGGGAAAAGGCTTTGCTGGCTCCCTCCCCCCTTCCCCTTCACCTCCACAGCCAGGATCTGTCTGTCCCAGGAGGGTCTGTCTGTCCCAGGAGGGTCTGTCTGTCTGTCCCAGGTGGGATGGAGGCCTCCCTCTGTGCCTCCCTGGCCACCCCTCTGCTCCCACAGGAGCTCCCGGATTCCCTGCAGGAATTCCTTGCCTTTTTCAGTCAACGTTACTGCTGGATCCAGCCCAGGAATCCTGCTGGGATCGAGCCTGGATCTTGGGCTGAGCTCAGGCAGGGGCTCTGCTGGGGGGAGCTCGGCTCCCAGCGGGATAAAAACCCCTGGAATTTGGGCTGCACTTTGTCCTGGGGGGTTCTGCCCCACACTGGGACCTCCTGGCTGGCACTTTTTATGGGATGCCCCCTGGAGCTGGGAGCAAACAGGGCTCAGCTGTCACAAACTGGCTGTATTCCTGTTGTCCTGTATTCCTGTCATCCTGCATTCCTTTATTCCCGTATTCCTGCCTTCCTGTGACTCCCCAAGCTGTGTTTTCCCTGGAAATCTGCTCCTCTCCCTGCCCCAGGTTCAGGTTTGCTGGTTCAGGGCCTTCCCCTCTGTCCTTCCTCAGCCAGGAATAAAGTTGTTTCCCATTCTGGGAATGCAATTCCCTGGGAAAGTCCCCCTCCTTTCCCCTCCCCAGCTCCCCTCTTATTGCTGCCAGGGAATGAGCTGGCACTGCCCCCTCCACCGACCCTCCCTGGCAGGGAGAGACCCTCCTGCCCCCCGAGGTGCCCAGGGAGGGAGGGTGAGACCCCTTTCCACCTCCAGCCTGGCTGTTCCCGACCTTCCTAGGGGTTCATCCTCCCGTATCCCACCAGGCAAACCCCGGGCCAGGCAGTGCCAGCCCTGCCCAAGGTGCCACAGCCCGTGTTTGGGGGTGTTTGATGCCCACGGGAGGATTCAGGGGCTCCTCCTGGATCCCCTCAGCCCCTCTCTGTCATCGTGGACGAGGAGATCTGGGCTCCAGGAGACATCCTGGATGCCCCAGGAAGATCCTGAGGCTCAGCAGGATCCCTCAGGTGCCCAGATATCCCCTCATTTTCTCCAAAACCCTCTCCCAACATCCCTCTTCCAGCACCTTCCACCTCAGCACCGGGATTCCGGGTCTGACCCCCAAACCCCCCATGTGGGAGCTTGGCCGGTTTCCTGCTAAACCTGTGGATAACAGGAATGCCAATTCCCCCTCCAGCAGCTCTCCAAAGCCATGGAGCCGCCCTGGAGGGGCTCTCCCAGCCTGGCAGCTCCACAGGATCCAATAATTTGGGACATGCCAGGTGGATCAGCCCCCCCTCCCCCCGAATGCCAGGGATGTCCCATCCGCGTTTTTGGAAGAGAAAGGGCCAAGCCTTCGGCCCAAGGGGGATGTTCAGCCCAATCCCAGCTAAGCAGGGATGTTTTCCCCCGAAATCCCAGGCTCTGGAATCCCTGCTCCTCCCGGGGAAGCCCAGCCAGGAGCAGGACCCTTCCCATCCCTGCTCATCCCGGCACACACGGGAAACCCCCCCCCGCCGCTCCCAAACCACCCAGGGAGCATCCAGACCCCCCAGGAAAGGCTCTTCCCACCCCAAATCCCGCACTCCCGCCCTCTCCACCCACGCTGGACAACATCCAGCAGATATCCTGGACCCCGAGCCCGGGAGGGGTGGGGGGTCCCCGGTACCCCCCTCCTCACAGTGCCCGCGGCGGGAGCATTCCAGAGGGAATGGATAGTACCTGGAATGCCGGCTCCATGCCTTGCCATGCCGGGGGAAGGAGCGCTCCGGGAAGGAGCCGCTCCTGGCTCCCGCTGGAGCGGGTTCCTATGGCGATGCGGGAGCGATTAGAATAAAAGGTGGAGCGCAGCAACTGGAGCCGGGAGAAGTTTCCTGAGCCGCTGCCTGGGAAAAACCAGACCGTGGGAGAGCGAGCGCGGGGCCGGGGGCTGAGCCTGCCCGCCCCCGCCTGCGGCTCCTTGTGGTCCCCCTCCCCCCAGAAAATACCCCCCCCAATCCCCAGGGCTGCATCTCTGCCCCTCTGAGTCCTCCTGGGTGTGTGTCCGTCCAGACCCACAGCATGGGATGCTCCCGAATCCCTGGGATGCTCCCGAATCCCTGGGATGCTTCAGAATCAGTGGGATGCTTCCAAATGCCTGGGATGCTCCTGAATCCCTGGGATGCTCCAGAATCAATGGGATGCTCCCGAATCCCATAGTCCAGCCTATTCCCAACTCAGCCCAGTATAGCCCAGTCCATTCCAGCTCAGCCCAGTCCACTCCAGCCCAAACGAGTCCACTCCAGCCCAGTCCAGTCCATTCCAGTCCAGTTTAGCCAATCCATCCTAGTCCAGCCTAACCCCAATTTAGCCCAGTATAGCCCAGTCCATTCCAGCCCACCCCAGTCCATTCCAATTGAACCCAGTCTATTAAAACCCAGCCCAGCCCAGTCCACTCCAGTCCGGTTTAGCCAATCCAGCCTAGTCCAGCCTAACCCCAGCTCAGCCCAGTATAGCCCAGTCCATTCCACTTCAGCCCAGTCCATTCCAGCCCAGTTTAGCCAGCCCATCCCTCCATCCATCCCTCCCTCCATCCATCCATCCCTCCATCCATCCATCCCCATATCCCTCTCTCCATCCATCCATCCCTCCATCCATCCCTCCCTCCACCCATCCATCCATCCATCCATCCCCATATCCCTCCTTCCATCCCTCCATCCATCCCCATATCCCTCTATCCATCCCTCCATCCATAAATCCATCTCTCCCTCCCTCCATCCCTCCCTCCATCCCTCCATCCCGCTGCTCCTCTCCCCTGGCCCCAGCTCTGCTCCAGCAGGGAACTGTGGCTGCATTTCAATGACCTCCTGCTGATTTTATCTCCTTTCAGCTGCTCTCCAGGAGCAGATCCATGGTCTGGGACAGGCAGGATTCTCCTGCCTGGAATTGTCTCCAGGATGGGGATCAATGGGATCAATGGGATCAATGGGATCGATGTCTTTGCCCTGAGCAAGAACCAGGAGGAGCAGGGCCAGCGCCAGAGGGGCTTCTGTCCCAATTTTGGGTCTCTCCAGGTACCTCCAAAGGGTCTCAGGAGAAATTAGGGAGAAGATTAGGAAGGAATTCCTCCCTGGAATGATGGTGAGGCCCTGGTACAGCTTTCCCAGAGAAGCTGCCCCATCCCTGGAAGTGTCCAAGGCCAGGTTGGAGCAACCTGGATGAAATGATATTTTAGGTCCCTTCCAACCCAATCCATGCTGGAATTCTGTGCTCTTTCATCTCCAAATTCCTCCCCTCTCCCAAAGGCTCTATTCCAAAGCACCTGCCTGTGGGAATGGCTGGGTGGGAGCTTCCCACTCCTCCCTCTCTCCCGGGAAGGGCGGCAGAGCTGCAGGAAATCCTCCTGCTGGAAGATTTTCCCTCTTTTAAACCCCAAAAAAAGCTGGATGGTCCTCAGGGAAACTCGGGACACCAGTTCCCTGAGGCACATTCCTTCCCAATATCCCACCTAAATTTCCCCTCTTTCAGTCTGAAGCCATTCCCTGTGTCCTGTCCCTCTGACATTTGGGAATATCGATCCCAGCTGCACCTCAGAGCAGGGATTTAGTGCTGCAGGGAGGGAGACAGGAAGGGAATTTGCTCCTCCTGGATAATTCAATGAGGTCCAGCATTATCTCACCACTTGGGAGAG